TTTTTTTTTTTTTTTTTTTTTTTTTTTTTCCTTTCTTTTCTTATATACTTGGAAGATGTGGTAAGCATGCAAGCCTCGTAGAGGAGGGGCCCCCGGAAGGGCTGATGGGTGGGCTGGTGTTGGAAAAGGTGCCTCTCAGGCCAGGGCTGGGAAGGCCTCGGGATCATCCACGTTGGGGACTGATGCTCCGCTGGCCTGGAGGAGGAAACATGAGAAGGTCCAGTTACCTCGGGTGGATACAATGTGCTACTCACGATTGATCTGTGTTTTTCACCGAACGCTTCTAACTGAATCGTGTTACAAGTTGCCTGACCTCATGGACGGCCGGCCGGGTCTGAAGAAATTTAAACGTGCTTTGTTCTCAACCTGACCATTCATCATAGTCACCAAGTTAAAACATTTCCTCAGAATGAGGAACAACACAACAACAACAAACAAGCCTAGTCCATTATTTGTTATAGTGTAGAAAGTGTGACCCGTTCTCAGAACAAGACTAAAAGACCATGTTGAACCAGTGCAGGTTAAAGGAGAGTACTGACATGTATTTCAAAAAGTGGATTTCCGTTTATTTTGGCCAAAAGATTTTAATCACCGAAACACCGCGGCCAAAACAGGATGTTGTGATAACGCGAGCAGAAGCTGCAACTATTCAGATCCTCTGCACTTCACTGCAGCTGTACTCCTTTTTTAGTGTAACTTGCGGGGACTGAAAAAAAAGCAACACGCGGCAACATGTCGTTTTCGTTCTATTTGATGTACGCCTAACTTGGTTAATATTTTCTGCCACTATTCAGGGAATGTTCCGATCAATTGGTTGTAACGCTTAATATCGCAATTAATTGTGATATCGAGTAATTGTGACACCCTAACCTGTTACATCACTGGTATATTTAAGTGCAAAACATGCAGTTGCTGTTTAGTTCTTGTACACAGTCCAGAGCAGACACACGAGGCCCTGGCTGCCGTCATTGGATGGGCCTGTCAGTTTTGTGCCTTTGAGCCTGTATTCACTGCTGTGTTATTTTCGAGGCCTCTGTGTTTTCCAAGTCAGTGGTTTTAGAGCCAGTGTCCACTCGCTGAGCTAAATCCTCGGTCATAGACACTGCTGGCAGCTTTTATTGTTACCTTTTCAGAGCGTCCTCCCCCGCGTGTCACTCGGCTGCCTCCCCCGCCGCGGCCTCCCCTGCCTCCACGCCCGCCGCCCCGCCCGCGCCCCCGCCGGCCCCGGCCCCCGCCCTTGCTCCCCAC